CGTTGTTTTATTTTTTTGCCCTTAACTTCCTTCATCTCCTCTACCGAGGTGTATTGTGACAAATCTATCTCTTTGCTTCTCTTTGATGAAATTTGAAGAGGCTCTGCCAAACTAAACCCCAACCCAAACTTCAGAGTGGTGACGTAGTGCCCTTACTTTCTCAACTTCATTTGGAACTCATTGAGCCCATGTATCTTTTCACTAGTGACTTCGTCTTTGAGTTCTACTAGTTGTGATAGATTGAAGAAGTCATAACCAGACTTTTCAAGCAGTATGAAGGCCTTAGGATCATAGTGCCTTTTTATTTTATCGACTTGGAGATTGCCTTTAGCAGACTCATAAGTCAAGGATGGGATTTGTGCAACTGGGACAGTCAGATGCTCCTTCAAATGTTGGATATCTTTGTGACTCATTTTCTTCTTTGGAGTGCATTCTTGTAGCAAAGGTTGCCCTTTCTTTCGATGCTCAAGTGGAACATAGCGAAAAACCAGATGCTCCCCAGTCTTTGTCTGCATGTCACCTTCAGTTGATGATACCTTAATGAAGATTTTTCCGTTCCCTTCTTAGGCAACTTGGTGGTAGTACATTGAGCCTCATTTTCCTCTTCTGACTTAACCTCATCTTCATCATCTAATGATGGTTTCTCTACTTTCGGTTCACAAGAATCTAGGTAGAATTTTGTGTCTGCAAAGTATGACTCCGTCTTAGTGAAAGGCTTGATGTCTGCATCAATTTTGACTATCTCACCAACTCTTCTGTACTTCAAACATTGATGAAAAGTAGATTATACCACCCCATTCTCATGAATCCAAGGGCGTCCAAGCAACAAGTTGTATGATGTTTTAGCATCTATAACGTGAATCAGGGTGTTTGAATTCATCTCACCAATGGATAATCATATACGAATCATACTTATGGCTCGTTGTCCTCCTTGGTTGAAATCTTGGATTGTTAGGTTACTTTTGGATAACTTATCGATAGAGATCCCAAGCTTTTTAGCACCATCTTTGTCATGATATCGATAGCCGAACCATCATCAACAAGTATGCGATTGAGATATTGTTACCTAATGGACCCTACAACAAACAAAGGTCTATTATGTGGCTTAGACCCCAACAACAAGTCATCATCTATGAATGAAATTGTTGCACAACATGTGACAACTTTTCGGTTATCATGATGTTCTTGTGGTTTTATTGGAGCAGGCTCATCATTGCTTTCTGTTGTTTCGTCAGTACTAGAAACTACATGAGTTGCACTAACGTGACCTCCATGAAGGAATTTTCCAGGAAAGAATTCATGTAATGTGATGGGATTTCAGAACTTCCGCGATAAGGTACTATTAATATTCTTGCTAATAGAACATTTGATATTTCTTGGTGATTGTAGCCTATCTGCATTACTCATCATCGCTCTTGAATTAGGAATTCGTAGCCTAAAAAATGCCTGATGTTTTCGCTTCTTGTGAGTGACTAGAATCCAGCCCTCATCGTTTTTGTCTTTGGAGCGATTGTCTAGCTCTAGTGAACCTTCAAGAGTTTTCCTTGGAATATCAATTTCAACGGGCTCGAATCTTCCAAATTGTAAGAAGGTAGTGCTTGTTATGTTATGCAACTTTGAACACTTCTTTCCCTTGAGCGCAATACTTACAAGATTTGCTTCTGCAGTTTCATCCATGTCTATGATGATTTTTCCTTCACTTACAAGAGCCATGATTTTCTCCTTCAAGACAAAGCATTTCTCTGTACGATGGCTAATGACGCGATGAAACTTGTAGTATTTCTGATCTCCAACTTTGCCAATTTCCTCTTGCCTTTTTGATTCAGGGAGATTGATGATTTTCTTGTCTAGCAGTTCATCAAGGATTATGGGTACGTCTGAATTTGCAAATGGATAAACCTTTGCCTCTAATTCCTTCAAGGTGGGACGACGCTTCTCCTCTTTTGGATATTGACTCGGGGTCTTATCCTCCTTCACTTTTTTTCTTAGTAGTGACCTTCACAGAAGTTGCTTTCACCGCCATTGATTCTTTGGTTTGGTTCTTCGATACAATATTTTTCTTGAACTCCTTTTGATCAGCAAATGGAGATGCCTTTCCATGACTTACGATGCTTAACTCCATGTCGTGTGCTCGTGTTGTTCTTCAAAAGTTCACGGTCTGATCCCTTGTAGAATGTACAAAAATCCCAGTGCATTCCTTGAATGCACATCTCCACAACAGATATTTCTAAAAGGCAATCTTTGCAGTCCAAAATTAACGTCCTCCAATGATGAATGTAATCCACCACGGGCTCATCCTTCCTTTGCTTGGTGCCTGTCAACTGTATCATCTTTGTGATGGTCCGCCATATTGAGCTCTGATGGTGTTTCTTATCATGTCTTGCAATTGTTGGATAGATAATGCCGCAACTGAGGTAAATTGCTTTTCCTTTTGAATGTTTAACTTTGAAATGATTCCTCAACAACTGTTTTCTGGGAGGTGAAGACAAGTGAATGAGGAAGGACATGACTCGACTCTCCAGGTGCATAGACCTCCAATTTGTTCATGAGTTGAGCGATTTGAAGGTCTTTGTCTTCAACAGTTTTCTTCAAGACCTCTATAGTTTGTTCCATCATGAAAAACCTTTTGTCCACGTTAGTTGCGTCAATCATCAAGGCATTGACCTTCGTTGAAACTGAAGAATTCGTCAAATCCTCCAAGGTTTGAGGAGGTTTGAGAAAGTTTATCAAACAGCGAGAATGGGATGTTGCCCCCAGAAATAACAGTTGCGAATGTCATATGAGATCTGCTCTTCTTTTCCATCTCCAAGGAGGCTAAGTATTCGGATTCATCCAAGCCACTAGCCTTGAACTTGCTTTGAGTGATTGGGCCAACATGACTGAGCTCAGCGAATGCGGCAACAGTAGCATCTTTGCATGAAACATCACATATGCGGAAGGCCATTGTAGCTCCAGATCTGAAATTTGTAGCTTTCAACTTGCAAGAAGGAGAGATGAAAGGCAGAATTGGTGCCACTCAGCGTGCCAAAATTTGTTCGCAATAAATTTTCGTAATACGAAAAATAAACTGCACTAAAATAATATGAAGAAAAAGTGATTTTATTGATAAATATTTGTGAGTACAATTCTATATATCCCTTGATTCTCCTCTCTAAAATTCTCCGTGATTTGAGGGCTTGAGAAGCGTCTTTATCGAATGTAGGATGATGCAGACTTCCTTGTGATGTATTTATTCTCCAAGAACGTCGATCAACACTTTGTTGTTACGGGTTGATCTCTGGGAAGAACTTCGTTGATCACTCCTTTATTGAAGAACTAAGCACTTGATGATTGATCTCTCTGTTTGTGGATGCCTTAACCAATTGCGGAGTGTTCTTCTCCAACTCTAAATGTCCCCAGAGAGTTATGTAACCACTCTATTTATAGTTTTCGAGGGTGGACAGTCCAGTTACATATGAACTCTCTTGCTTGATTCTGATTGGCTCATGTCATTTTAGCCACTTGTCGACTTGTGGTTGGTTCTTGGCTTTTGACTTTAATTGCCACATCATTTAACACGTGGCGTCATCTTTTTGCCTTGCAGTTTGACTAGATATGTCATGTCACTTGACACATGGCATGAGTCTGGACCTTAAGATGAAATGGACCTTGGGCTTGAAAATAATAAAATGGACTAATTTAACTTGTAAAACTCAAATTAATTATTTAACACAATTGAATTTAATCCAAATTTTTTATGGATTAAACCCAATAAATTTTATATGTCTACAGATGCCCCATACTACAAGGCTTGTGGGGGTGTAGGCTTGCTCAAACGAACAACGAGATTTAAAGTACCAGTGAATGTTGATATTTTTGTTTTAGCACTTGTGGTGGCTTCTGCTAGTCAAATATGAACTTTTATATAGTTTCACATTTATGTGAAGTGCTAAATACGAACTCCAAACAAAAATTAACCTTCCAATACTTTGGTTGTAGAACACGTGTGTGCAATGTACTTTAGTTTGGAAGTAGCAATTGTAAATTATAGTAATGAAAAACTCTTGAAAATTGTTAGACAATTTTCCATGTTAGTCCCACGTTAGGCCTCTTTCTTTTTTTACCAAAAGCAAACAAGGAAAAATATTTCTTGACATTGTAGGACAAGGCAACATTGTTTCCTCCTAGGATTCTAACTCCTTGTTTTGTTCACTTATAGCTCATACTTTGTTAGATTCCTATAAAAAGAGGACCAAGCCAACTAGTTTTATATCACAATTGAATATCAAGCTCCTCGGTCAAATTGGATCGAAGCACCGAAATTGATACTAGAGCTTCTTCCATCTCCACTTGCTTTCACGAACTGCCTGCACTTGCCCTTTTGTTCATTCCTTTTTTTTATCTCCTTAATTTTTTCTCTTGAATCATGACTTTCATTTTCTCTCTCTCTCTATATATATATCTATCTCCCTTCTTTTATGCAGCAGATCATTCAATTTAAATAGGTAGAAAATAGAATTAGAAGCAACCAAGCGCGCGTCATGCAATAACTTGGGGACGTAGTTGTGCTTCTTGTATTGCTTCTTTATTCAAAATTAATCCATATTAAAGGACTCCACCCACATGAGAAGCCAAATTTGAAAACTTTGAGCAATGGAGATTGCTGTTCAAGACCAAATTTTTTTGCCGCAAGTTAAAGTTTCATGCAAGGTCCAACAGTTCAAGCCTTATCTAGAAAGCGTTCTGGGAGCCATTGGACTGTAAACGCAATAGGTAAATAATTTTGACTATTAGTACATATTCAGCAGTCCCTTCTAAGTCCCTCTAGACCTTACCTGAAAGTTGGTTACTTTCAATTTTGTGATGCAATTGCAGTAATTAGAAGGTTTTCCCTGCATGCTCGTCTTTTCTTTGAAAAATTCAACTATATAGTGACATTTTATATAAGCTATAAAAGAGCGGCAGATTGTCTGGTCGAGCCCTATTTTGATTCTTGTATCCTTCTGTCCAAAAAGAAAAACATGGCTAAAACATCAGAAGTTTCTTGTTTTAGTTGGTTCATCTCTCTCATGGATTCAACTGATCTCTTTTCTTATACAGATTCAAAAGAAAATATCAAGAAACTCAAAGTGAAAGTTAATGAAGTGCTATATTTAACGTGTGAAGAACGTATTGTGGTTGATTTTGATTACCTGGATGAACCATTTGGAGATGCACGCGGCCTTCTTTCAGGATTTTGTGGAATTTTAGCATGTGACTGCACTTTATTTCCTATCCACTGTGAGAAATGGTCGAGTTTACCTATCTCATACTTCAACCACGTCTTCGATCAAATTATAAAGGTATAAGCTCTACATTCTTAGAACTATATCACTGTTTTATTTTGGAGAAAGACAACTATATCTCTATTTTATCTTTGAACTTTATACTTGCATTTAATAGACATGCTAACCAATGTTTTATTCTTTAAGCCCAAGTTCTTCTTTAAGACAACCGAGTCAGTTGCACGACAACATGTTTATAAATCTATTGGAAAGAAATGGGCTGCAAATAGGCTTAACTTGTGGAGTGCATCTGAAGACCCACTTAAAAGTAGAGCTGAGATTATTGATAATGTGCCAGATGGAATTCCGCCAGATCAATGGATTTCTTTTGTTGATTACCAATATAAAGATTCAACAAAGGTACTTAAGCAACTGCTTCTTCTAGTCTTTATAATTATATTATTGTTTGTTCTTCTAATTGAGTTTCAAGTATATTTTTTATAAGGAAATGCGTAAAAGAAATGCTGAAAATAGAAAAAAACAGAAGATTCCACACACAGGTGGTTCCAAAGCCAACGCTACGAGAAGGGCTGAAATGGTGAGTAAATTAACTTTCTATGTAATTATTTCTAAGTAGTAACTAATTCTGAATTTGATTTTGTATTTATAGATAGCTCAGACTGGACAAATGCCTGGACGAGCTCAAATATACATTGCTACTCATAAGAATGAAGATGGAGTATATGTTAATGAAGAAGTAAAAGAAATATGCGTAAGTTTTTGTGAATTCATAGCTTATCTTAAGAAACAAATCATGAGGACTAATGAGTATGCTAGATAATTGAAGTTTACTCAACATTTAAGTTCTATTTAATGTGTGTTGCAGTTAAAGTTGTCTATTGTCTTGGGTTGCTCAAGAGTGCCTCATCTCCTCGTTACTATATGGTTTTACATGATTGACATCCTTGTCATGTCCTGCCTACTTTTTCTACTTGCTACCTGTGCATAGTTTCCTGGAATCTAAATGCCATATGGGTGGCATGCATTCACTCACTGAAATATTTTCTTTGGGCAAGTGAATATCATCTGCAAGTGATTTGAACTATCTAATTAGGGTAAATTTTAAAAAGGGGATGAAAATTTTAGAAAATCTTCTAACATAGGTTGGACAACTAAGCCTAGATTGGAAACAGGTGGGCGTGTCAAGGTATATATGGTTATGCGGATTAAGATATGTATATTTTGACACTAGACAAATGCATTCCTGTTAGTTTAGTTGTGACAATGAGTTTTGTATGTGTAGGAAAAAATTGAGTTAGCTTTGAGTGAAAGCACCATAGACGAGTCTCAAATTTCGCCAAATGATGCCGTTGGTAAGGTGCTAGGAAAAGAGCACTCTGGAAGGGTAAGGTGTTTGGGATTAGGCCCTGTCCCTAGTAAAGTTTTTAAACAAGTAAGACCTCGTTTTGGTGGTACAAGTTCTTCAAGTATTGAAGGTTCATGTTCGTCCCAATGTCAACATAACCATAATCAAATGATGAATGCTCACAATCAAATGATGAATGCTTTCAAGGCATATATGATAATGAAAGAAGGGACTTTACCAGAACAGTTTGTGGGGTTCTTTGATTCTCCTTCGACGATTTCTCCTACAACAGTAAGTAAAGTTCTTCAAATTTTTTTCACTTTAATTTGTCTATTTGCAAAGATAGAGTGGCTTAGATTAGTACAATTCTTGTATGTGTATCTGTTTTCTTTGTATAACTCCTCTCTCTCCCACTATTATATTTTTCTTTCTGATTCTAGCATGAATTAGTCTCACTTTCTAATAGGATGCACAAACATCTTTTTTCTCAGTCCAATAAAAAAAAAAGACTGCAATGTTGATCTAAATTTGATATTTAAGTACAAACGAAGCTTGAAGTGTTGCACTTATTTGCTTACATTATTTAGTAGAACCTACAGTTACTGTAATTTCTGATTCTGACATGATTTTTATACTTTATTTTTTTATGCAGCCAAGTGATGCGGACAGTGGACCCTTTTTGCCAATGGACGCAAGAAGATCATGTGGTGATAGTAATTCTAGCGGCAACCATTGATTTTATTGTAATTGTCTTAGATAATTAATTGTGACGATGTAATTGTGTGGTTGAAGCTGATGTTAGAATGTTGGAGTGAATGTTTTGTGTTTAAAATAGTTTTTGAGTGATGCTACTTAATGTTGACAATTTAGTTTTAAAAACTAATGATATTTTATGATAACGTTTTGTGATTTTATGATATGTTATCGATATCTTTTTACTTTTAAATATATTTTTTTTGCTTTGATTATGATTTACAACTTAATTAGTAATTTTGTCAATAATATATGAATTAAAAAATTCAATAAGGTTATGACTGACTGGAGCTTAAAATATAAGCTAATAAAAAAGAATAAAAATTATATTGCGGAGGTTTACAATCGTCGCAATTCGTAGCTGAAAATTATTTTTAAAAAATTAAGTTTTAAATCTGCGGGGGTCAACCGCCGCGAAGTAACCCCCACTACTTAGTTCTGGCGGTCAGCAAATAACTGCCGCAAAACAATTGCGACGACTCTTATTGTGGGGGTTTTAATGACTGCCGCAACAACGTATTGCGGGGGTTTTAAACCGCCACAAACCTTAAAAATAACCCCCGCAATTAGGCCTTTTTTTTGTAGTGTGAACTAGACTGTTGTGCTGCTTCCGATGTCTTTTTTTTAATGTCAAGCTGAAGTGCCATGATGCTGAATCATCGTGCTATTTGCACTGTATCTATAAAAACTTCGCATTGTTAGCATCGAGGATTTCCAAATATTTTTCTTTTGCAGGATTTTGCGAGTACAACGGTCTTTGATATCCCTAAGGAGATGCACGCGATGCCTATATGATTTGCAGCAAAACACATGTCTCTTTGTTGCGTCCTGGCGAGAGAGACATATGAAATGTCCTTTCAACCTCGGTGACAAAATCTCTACTCTTGGTGGCTTGGATAGATAATATTTCATCACTGGCGAGCCAACATGTACTACATCGCATCATTGCAAGTTGATGCAGAAGACAATTGGAGTAGGCCTTTCCCACTTCGGCGAGCAAACCCTTAGCGCGTCTCTGCAAAAATATTTATTTCTCAATGAAGTAGCAATGAAATTACAAGACTCTTCTTTCTAAAGAATCATAACACGAGGAGATGGAACATATAAAAAATTCAGTACCAAATTCTTTGAGGATTAGCCGCAATAATTTATTGAAGCTGATAAGAATGTCCAGCATTTTAACTTTACGGCACTGTACAGTCTCGCCAAAAGATTGATATCTCGAGCTAGGAGTGTTCGAATTGCGATCCGTTTGTGCAATTGGAAAGAAAACTCTAACACATATCACACATGAAATGTTCATGGAAGTATTCCCGTCATAATGGCTGCAATAATATTCTGAATTTGCTCCTAATGTCTGTCGTACTTGCAATCCAGCTTTGCGCACTCTTGTTAAAGAATTTATATCTCAAGCTAGGAGACTCTAAATTGCAATTAGTTTATGTGGTTAGAAAGTAAACTCATAGAGATAAAACATATATTAATTTCATGCCAAAACGTCTTTCGAGATGGAAACAAAAAATTCTCAAAATCCACCTAGTTGCAGTAACTTTCAGATTCGTGTAGTTCCGGCGAAAGAAATAGTATCTTGAGCTAGGGGCCTCCAAATTGCAAATGGTCTGTGTTTTTGGAAAATAGACATTCAAATATACAACATACAAATTGTTATGGGCATAACATCTTTGAAACGGACGACAATAGTTTTTTCAAAGTTGATCCTGTTGTCGGTTGAGCTCGCTTTCCATCTCTATGATCCTGCGAATGTGTTTTCTTCTTGTTGAAATTGACTTTAAAATCTTGGATGTAGTTACTTTGAATACCATGCTTCACAAATCTTATCTCTTCGATTCCTTTTGCAGACTCGCAAAGGAGCTCAAAGCGTCCGAATATCCGACTGAGATGTCATACAGGATGCGGATATGTTGAAGTTTTGAGCATGCAAAATCTCTATGAGAAAGAAAGAATTATTATAGTAGATCATCTTGCAAAGCCACTCGTTCGCCAATTGTTGCACTTGAATTGTTGATAGTCTTGAAATTTATAAATGGCGTCTCCCACGATAATTGAAGATTTTTTCTAAAAAGAAACAACTTCTCACATATGGGACCTTTAACCAACACTTGCACAAGAGAAGCAACATCCTGCTCGAGGCATAACAACAGGACCCATGGTCAAGAGATCGTCACAACTACTGAACGTGAGAGACGTACATCGGGAATGGTGTATCAGATGTGAAGACGTCATATAGACTCGGAAAAGCATTTAAGACACATCAGCAACAAAGCCTAGTTTATAATCATCCTTATGATTTAGGCTTTTGTACATAAAAATGTCTAGTTCCTTTTGTCTCTACATTTTTGGATGGATCACCTTTTGTACTATTGAAGCACTAAAACATCTTTCGTACTTTAACGCAAATCGTCTTCTTTTCCTCATAGATATGTACCTCTACACTTGAAGAATTTATGTGATGATCCGATGATGCCAAATTTTTATTTTTTAAAAACTCATGCGACTGAACTTAGAATGAAACTTTAAGTTTCCTACGTACCTCGATGAAAAGGATCAAGTCATAAAGTAGTTCAGAAGGGTGAGTTCTTTTTTTTTTTATATCCTAATTTTTGCTTAGGCTGCCTTTTGCAAGGTTTTCAACCTAGCAGACTTTTGTTTTGTTTTTTTGGCCATACACAACTTAGACTCATGCGGGCCAGGAGTATAGCAATGTGCAGTTTAGGCTCATGCATCAAGGAGCGTCATGACTTGCAGCTTAGGCTCGTACGTCGAGGAAGACGTTTCTCAAAAGGTACATCTGTCCCTTTTGATACATGGGGACTTGACGTTGTTGGACCACTTCCAAAGTCATCAAAGGGACAGATGTACATATTGGCCGCTATATGCTACTTCTCTAAATGGGCTGAAGCTGTTCCACTCAAGGAGGTGAAAAAAGAAACTGTTGTCGATTTTATCAAATCATATATAATTTTTAGGTACGACATACCAAGATACTTAATCACTGATAATGGAATGCCATTTGACAACAAGCTCGTGAAGAGTCTGTGTGAGAAGTGCGGTTTTAAGCAACATAAGTCTTTAATTTATAATGCACCCACCAACAGACTTGCTGAAGCTTTTAACAAGACGCTTGTTAACCTTTTGAAGAAAGTTGTTGCAAAGAACAAGAGAAACTGGCATGAGAAAATTGGTGAAGCTTTGTGGGCATACCGGACAACCTTTAGAATTGCTACACAAGTAACTCCTTACTCTTTGTATATGGCGTGGAAGCAGTCCTTCCGTTGGAGCAACAAATTCCATTATTGCGGATCGCAATCCAAGAAGGACTCAAGTATGAAGAGAATGTTAAACTTCACCTAGTAGAGTTAGAGGCATTGGATGAGAAAAGATTAGAAGCGCAACAAAAATTGGAGTGTTATCAAGCTCGACTAGCTAGAGCCTTCAACAAGAAAGTGCGGCCACGATCATTCCAAGTGGGAAACTTAGTCTTAGCTGTTCGACGACCCATAATCCTCTCAACAAACACATAGGCGACAAGTTTACCTCAAAATGGGATGGGCCATATGTTGTGAAAGAAGCCTATTCAAGTGGCGCACAGACAATCATTGATAAGGATGGTCTTAGAGTTGGTCCGATCAACGGACAATTTCTGAAGCAGTACTTCCCATGAAAGTCACCGACACACCTCGACGTACGAGCCTAAAATGCAAGTCATGATGCTTCTTGATGCATGAGCCTAAACTACACGTTGCTACACTCCTGGCCCACATGAGTCTAAATTATACGGCCCAAAAAAAAAGTCCGCTAAGTTGAAAACCTCGCGAGAGGCGACCTAGGTAAAAAAAATTAGGAGATAAAAAAGGAAAAAAAGAAAAAAAAAACAAAAACTCACCCCTATGAACTACGTTATGACTTGATCCTCTGCACCGAGATATGTAGGAAGCTTAGAGTTTTATTCTAAGTTCAGTCGCATGAGGTTTAAAAAAAAAGTTTGGCATCTTCGGATCATTACATTAATTCTTCCAAGTGTAGATGCACATACCTATGAGGAAAAAAGATGATTTGCTTTGAAGTAGAAAAGATATTTTATTGCGTCAATAGTACAAAAGTTGATACATCAAAAAATATAGAGACAAAATGAATTAGACTTTTTCCTATACAAAAGTCTAAGTCATGAAAATGATTGTAAACTAGGCTTTGTGGCCGACTCGTCTTGAATGCTTCTTCCAAGTCAATATGACGTCTTCACATTTTAATACACTATCCTCAATGCCTCATATATAAAAAGTCATCTCTCTTGAAAAACCTTCAATCACCATGGAAGCCGCCATTGATAAACTTCAAGACCGTCAACAAATCAAGTGCAACAGTTGGTGAAGGAGTGAGTCCGCATTTGTATAACATCTCAGACTGATATCTGGACTCGTTAAAATTCTTTGCAAGTCTGCAAAAGAAATAAATAAAGAAATAAGATTTGTGAAGCACAATAGCTAAAGTTACTATATTCAAGACTGTAGAGTCAATTTCAAGAATACAACAATATTCATAAGACAGCTCAGAGATGGGAAGCGATCTCAACGGATGAAGAGATCAACTTTAGAAAACTACTGTGGTCTATACGGAAGACGTTCTACCCCAAACATTTTATATGTTGTATATTTGGATGTCTAGTCTCCAACAAAACAATCCGTTTGTGATTCAGAGGATCCTAGCTGAAGATACGATTTTTGTTGTGGAACTACATGAATCTGAAAGTTACTGCAGCTAGGTGGAATTTGAGAATTTTTTGTTTCCAACTCGAAAAGAGTTCGGCCATGAAATTCACATGTGTTGCAGATGGTTTTACTTTTTAACAGCGCAAACGGATTGCAATTTGGAGTCTTCTAGCTCAAAATACTATTTTTTTCGCCGGAACTACACGAATCTGAAAGTTATTGCAGCTAGGTGGATTTTGAGAATTTTTTTTTCCAGCTCGAAAGGAGTTCTGCCGTTAAATTCATATGTTTTTTAGATCTATGAGTTTACTTTCTAAAATCATAAACGGATTGCAATTTGGAGTCTCCTATCTCGAGATATGAATTTTTCAACAAGAGTGCGCAAAGCTGGATTGCAAGTACGGGAGACATCAGGAGAAACTTCAGAATATTATTGCAGCCATTATGAGGGAAATACTGCTATGAAATTTTCTAGTACGACGGGTGTCAGAGATTTCTTTCCAACGGCACAAACAGATCATGATTCAGACACTTCTAGCTTGAGAATCAATCTTTTGGCGAGATTGTACAATGCTGTAAAGTTAAAACGCTGGACATGCTTATCAGTTTCAAAATATTATTGCGGCTAATCCTCAAAGAATTTGGTATTGAATTTTGTATATGTTCCATCCCCTAGTGTTATGATTCTTTAGAATGAAGCGGCTTGTGATTTTATTGCTCCTGCATTGAGAAATAAATATTTTGCAAAGACGCGCTAATGGTTTGCTCGCCGAAGTTGGAATGGCCTACTCCAGTTGTCTTCTTCGTCAACCTACAATGATGCTATGTGGTATATGTTGGCTCGCCAATGATGAAATATTGTCTCTCCAAGCCTCCAAGAGTAGGGATTTCAATGCCAAGGTTGAAAGAACACTTCATATGTCTCTCTCGCCAGGCCACAACAAAGAGACACGTGTTTTGCTGCAAATCATATAAGGATCTCGTGCATCTCCTTAGGGATATCAAAGGCCGTTGGTACTCCCACAAAAGCCTGCAAAAGAAAAATATTTGGAAATCTTCGATGCTAACAACACAAAGTTTTTTTAGATATAGTGCCAATAGTACGACGATTCAACCCCATGACACTTCAGTTTGACATAAAAAAGGACATCAGAAGCAACACACCAGTCTAGTTCAGCATGGGTTCTAGTATCAATTTTGGTGCTTCGATATAGTTTGACAGAGGAGCTTGATATTCAATTGTTATGGAAAACTAGTTGTCTTGGTCCTCATTTTATAGGGATCTAATAAAGTATGAGTTATAAGTGAACAAAATAAGGAGTTAGAATCCTAGGAGGAAAAAACGTGGCCTTGTCCTACAAGATCAAGAAATATTTTTCCTTATTTGCTTTTGGTAAAACAGGAAAGAGGCCTAACGTGGGACTAACATAGAAAATTGTCTAACAATTTGCAAGAGTTTTCCATTACTATAATTTACAATTGCTACTTCTAAACTAAATTATATTGCACACACGTATTCTACAACCAAAGTATTGGAAGGTTAAATTTTGCTTGGAGTTTGTATTTAGCACTTCACATAAATGTGCAACTGTAAAAAAGTTCAGATTTGACCGGTAGAAGTCACCTTAAGTGCTGAAACAAAAATATCAACATTCACTGGTACATCAAGTCTCGTTGTTCGTTTCAGCAAGCCTACACCCCGACAAGCCTTGAAGTAGGGGGTATCTGTAGACATATAAAATTTATTGGGTCTAATCCATACAAAATTTGGATTAAATTCAATTGGGTTAAATAATTAATTTGGGCTTTACAAGTCAACATTAGTCCATTTTATTATTTTCAAGCCGAAGACCTATTTCATCTTAAGGCTTAGACTCATGCCATGTGTCAAATGACATGACATATCTAGTCAAATTGCAAGCCAACAAGATGACGCCATGTATTAAATGATGTGGCAATCCAAGTCAAAAAAGTAAGAACCAACCACAGGTCGCCATGTGGCTAAAATGACATGAGCCAATCAGAATCAAGCAAGAGAGTTCATATGTAGCTGGACTGTCCACCCTCTACCACACTACTAGAAATTCGGCAAAAGTCGGTTTTTCAAAATATTTTAATTTTTAATTTTTTTTACGAAACCGACCAACTTTGGTTGGTTTTCTTTGGCGCAAAAATGCAGGAAACTATTTTTGAGTCCCGTGAAATTTATTTTTCAAGAAATCGACCAACTTTGGTCGATTTTTGCAATTAAAATAAATAATAATTAATATTAAAAAAACCTACCAACTTTGGTCGGTAAAATCTATCTGTCATTTTAAAAAACCGACCAACTTTGGTCGGTTATTTTCGTGTAAAAATATAATTAATGAGTATCAATAAATAAAAAGACAATCTTAAAATAAAATGCACCAATGGTCTAGTGGTAGAATAGTATCCTGCCACAGTTCACACCCTGCTTCGATTCCCAAACGGTGAATCTTTTGATTACATAATTAAAATACCGACCAACTTTGGTCGTTTTTTTTTGCAATATTTTTTTTGAAATTAATATATGACCAACTTTGGTCGGTAATTAGCGATCAACTTTGGTCGGTATACAAAAAGCGACCACTAAAATAGCGACCAGGCCTGTTTGGACTGGTTTTGGTCGGTATTTTGCATAAACAGACCAACGTTGGTCGCTTTTTGTGGTCGCTAAAACCCGAATTTCTAGTAGTGTACAACTATAATAGAGGGGTTACATAACTCTTTAGGGACATTCAGAATTGGAGAAGAACATTCTGCAATTGGTGAAGCCATCCACAAACACAAAGATCAATCATCAAGTGCATAGTTCTTCGACAAAGGAGTGGTCAACGGAGTTCTTTCCGAAGATCAACCCGAAACAACAAAGTGCTGCTCGACGTTCTTGGCGATTAAATATATCACAAGGAGGTCTGCATCGTCCTACATTCGAGAAAGATGTTTCTCAAGCCCTCGAACCACGTAGAGTTTCATAGAGGAGAATCAAGGGATATATAGAATTGTACTCACAAATATTTATCAATAAAATTACTTTTTCTTCATATTATTTTTGTTGCAGTTTATTTTTGTATTACAAAAATTTATTGCGAACAAATTTTGATGAAACAACAGAAGCGTCTTTCTCGAATGTAGGATGATGCAGACCTCCTTGTGATGTACTTAATCGCCAAGAACGTCGATCAACACTTTGTTATTACGGGTTGATCTCCGGAAAGAACTTCGTTGATCACTCCTTTATTGAAGAACTAAGCACTTGATGATTGATCTCTCTGTTTGTGGATGCCTTCACCAATTGCGGCGTGTTCTTCTCCAACTTTGAATGTCTAGAGAGTTATGTAACCCCTTTGTTTATAATTGTAGAGGATGTATAATCCAGCTACATATGAACTCTCTTGCTTGATTCTGATTGGCTCATGTCATTTTAGCCACTTGGCGACCTGTAGTTGGTTCTTGGCTTTTGACTTGAATTGCCACATCATTTAACACGTGGCGTCATCTTTTTGCCTTGCAGTTTGACTAGATATGTCATGTCACTTGACACACGGCATGAGTCTGGGCCTTAAGATGAAATGAACATTGGGCTTGAAAATAATAAAATGAACTAATTTAACTTATAAAGCTCAAATTAATTATTTAACCCAAATAAAACTAAGATTCCATCCAAATTTTATATGAATTAAACTTAATAAATTTTATATGTCTACGGGAATAAAATACTAGTAGTAAATATGTTTTGTTAAATCAAAAGTGTAAAGTAGAAAAACTGTAAATTTGGAGTGACCCTAATTTTGATTAATTTTGACTTTTAAATTATGAAAATCAATTACAACTCTATAAATTACTTTATCACATCTTTTTTATAAATAAAATAACTTTTAACTGGATAATGCATGTCTTTATGATGCTTGACAAGAACAATTGATTATTGCATTATTTGTTTACAAGTTCGAGTAGATTCCTTTTTTCTCCTATATGCCTTTTTGCAAATCGGAACACATTCCCCTGCCATTGCTAAAAGAGAAAATGACAAATCATCCTATTGATGGCTGGAAGATTTCATTCATATTATCGTTGAGTCCATTACGCGGACATAAGAAACATATACATTGTATTTACTATTTGTAACTATACTTTAAAAAAGTTTCTTATAGCTCAACTGGTAGACCGCCCACTTAGTAAGTGGAGTTCTTGAGTTTGGCTCTCAACAAAAGCATTTTCTTTCTTTATATTTCTATATTTTATCTTGGTTGTATTCATTGCGAGAAATTTAAAATACTTTACATATTCAGAATTAATTGAGACAGCATAGACTAACAATGGAGCATGATCAGAACATGATATCATTATCTTTCCCATGTCTTTCTTGCTCATGAATTAGAGTTGTTTGATGAGAAATTATGAACGGTATCATTATTAAGAGCTTGATATTATTTAGTTCATATAGTAGACAATGCTCAATCTCAAAATGAGTTGTAAAAATGATAAAACACAACACATATATGTAACCACACACTGCATGTAGTGTATATAACATATCTTGAATACATTGGATTAAAGTGCAATACATAAAGAAAACAACTATAACTGTAATTGTATAACATTATTAGTACATGCATCAATAAGCAAAATAGGAGAAAAAGAACAGTCCGAAGCTAGAAGACTCTCTATAAATGGTTGATATTTATTATCAAAACTCGTAGAATTGCTACTAGCTAGTCATTAATTTTTATACCCAAATGGCATTAGCCCTAATGAGCAATTGTTTCAGCTTGCTTCTCACATTAAGGCTCATGATCTCATTAGAACCACCAACCAACTCATTCCCTATAAAAATTGCTGGCACACTTGGCTGACACCCTAGTTCAATTAGTGCCTTCTCCATTTGCTTCCCATTTGGATGTCTATCGAGCTCGTAAGCTGTAGGGTTTGCTCCAAAACTACGGATTAGGGTTTCGATGCTATGAGAAATGCAACAACTACTCTTGCTGAATATCACCACAGGGCTTATTGCTCCCAACTTCATCACCATATCCATATTGTTCGTATGTTCAAGAAATAATGTGTTTGGCAAAATGCCAAGATTTATAGCGTTTGGTTAAAAGTAAAAGAAGTTGTGAAGGCTACAAGAAATAATGAAGGTTTCTGAAGTGAATTTCAGGCTTTATTTTGTTGTGAGAAACCTGAACCTACCATGAAACTATATAGAGAGGCCTCAGAATTTGTATGTTAGTTGTAAAAGAATAAAGGGTGAAAATTGCTAGAAGAATTGGTGGATTGTTCTTGATCACTTGTATGATAAGAGCATATTGTATGCCTTATCTACCTTGATTCTAAAGTATCATTACATACTCAAGCTGAAAGTCAAAAGAATATAATCATCATCTTTAAAATATTCCCAGAACTTACAAGTCATATATCACTAGCTAAAGTTCAACTCGATTGTTAATTACTCGATCTTTGGATTTTTTTTCTTGCTTCTTTCTTAGTTTTTTTCTTTGATCTAGTTGGTTAATGTACTAAGTTGTGTGTTTATAGCAGTTTTCACTTTCGGGAATAACTTCTCCTGTTTGTATAGGTTAGAGGCAGGGGCAGAGGCAGATCTACCGTTGAAGTTACGGGTTCAGCATATCACAGTAATTTTAACCCATATCTTGTACGTATTTGTAAAAATCCACTTGATATGTATAAATAATTTATTCAAAACCCAATAAGCAAAAAAAAAAAAAAAAAAAACTCTAGGT